GGAACTTACAAAAGATGGACCCAAAATTACCTTTCAGACAGACAACAATGCACAGCACTGAGTAATTACAATTCAAATTTTTTGACTATATCCAAAGGAGTACCACAAGGTTAAATTGTGGGCCCAGTTGTATTCAATGTATATATTAATGAATTTCCTACAGGTTGCTTGAGGAAACACAAACTTGTTTTAAATGCTAAGAAATCTAAGTTTGTGCTGTTTTCCAGATCTACTAATACTGATTTTAATACTGTAAATATTACTACCCTGGCAGGATCCAACATTGAAAGAGTCACAGAGTATAAATACCTTGGCATATGGCTGGATGATAAACTCACTTTTAAATCCCATATTAATAAAATGGTTGGCAAGTGTAGACAGAAGCTCGGTTACCTATATAGAAATAAATCCTGTTTCCCCAGGTATGCAAGAAAAAGAATTGTTGAGGCAACCTTACTATCTGTAGTGGACTGTGGTGATGTAATTTACAAACACGCATCTGCCAGTTCCCTTAAACCACTGGACAGGAAACACTAAAGCTCAGCTTGCTGGTGTCACTCAGTCATTTTAAACTTTTACTCTCTAACCACCTCCTCTCTACCTGCACTTGTTTTAACTGATTTCTTACTATTGTTGTTTTATTTTCATTTTTATTATTTATTTGTTTATTTATCATTATTCATATTCTTATTTCAATAATGATTATGATTTATTATCATTTTACTCATTTTATTTCATTTTTAGTTTACTTTTTGATTTTATCCAGCTTTTGTTTTAATTTTTTGATTAACTTTTACATTTTAGCGACATTTTAATTATTGTTTTATATTTTCCACTGTATTTCTATGTATTTTTATTATTAATGTTTCATTTTTCTATACTTATCTGATTTGAGTCATTTTTTATTAAATTTACTTTTATTATTTGATACAGGAAAATGGATTGATATGTTCACATTATCAATCCCTTTTCCTGTATCAACTCGGTAACTTTGTAAATCAGCGTCATCCTCAATGTTCTCCGAGGTTAAATAAAGGTTGATTGATTGATTGATTAATACAGAGCCATGCTGTTGTAATATGTGCAGAATGTGGTTTAACATTGTCTTGCTGAAATAGACGTCATCTGGATGGCCAAAACATGTATATATCGTTCAGCATTAATGATGCCTTCACAGATGTGCACGTCACCCATGCCATGTGCGCTAATGCACCCCTATACCGTCATGAATGGTATATTGAAGTGTGCACTGAAACAAGCTGAGTGGTCTTTAGTCTGGAGGACACAGTGTCCATGATTTTCAAAAAGAAATTCAAATGTTGATTTGTCGGACCACAGGACACTTCTCCACTTCCCCTCAGTCCATTTTAAATGAGCTCGGTCCCAGAGAAGGTGGCAGCATTCTTGGATCCTGTTTATATATGCTTCCTTCTTTGTGTTTGAGTTTTATTTAGCATTTGTGGATGCAGTGCCGAACTGTTTTCATAGACCGTGTTTTTCAGGATTTTTTCTGAGCCCATGCAGTGATTTCCACTACAGAATCATGTCTGTTTTTAAAGCAGTGCTGTCTGAAGGCCCAAAGATCATGACCAGCAAATACTGGTTTTCAGGCTTGTCCCTTGCATACAGAGATTTCTCCAGATTCTCTGAATCTTTTGATGATATTATGTACCGTAGATGATAAAAAGCAAAAGTTCTTTGCTATTTTATGTTGAGAAACATTATGCTTGAATTGTTGCACTATTTGATCGTGCAGTCTTTCACAGAGTGGTGAACCCCTCCTCATCTTTACTTCTGAAAGTTTTATACCCTGTCATGTTATTGACCTGTTGCCAATTAACCATCATTTTTTTTTTTAAGCATTACACAACCTTACCAGTCTTTTGTTGCCCCTGTCCCAACTTTTTTGGAGTATGTTGTTGGCATCAAATTCAAAATGGGCATATATTTTTCAAAAAACAATAAAATTTCTCAGTTTCAACATTTGATATGTTGTCTTTGAAGCATTTTCAAATAAATATAGGGTTTAAATGATTTGCACATCATTGCATTTTGTTTTTATTTACATTTTTCACAGCATCCCAACTTTTTGGAAATGGGATTGTATTTATAAGATGCTTAAGAAAAATAAATATTAAATATCACCATCGTTCATGCTGTCAGTATTTGCAACTTAGTGTTTTTTCAGGCTTGGTTGAAACGATGGGCCGCGAGACCCCACTGAGTGATACAGCTGACCCACGAGGCACACTGCAGGCGGGGCTAGTGTACGCACAGGCCTGGTTAGCGGGCTGCTGTGCTAAAGGCTAAATCGAGGTTAAATGCAATCATTATGCTGAGAGTCCAGCGGTTCCTTCCACTCTATCAATAACATTAACTTAGACTGTACAACGTTGTATTTTCCAGGTTTGAAAAGTGCTGGAATTTTGGATAAAGTGTTTGAAAATGCTTGAAATTGTACCTGTATTTCTTTCATGACAAATAGCTGTCTGACTGAATAGTTTAGTTATTAAATGGAGAAAAAAATAAGTCGCAGCCTAAAATGAAAACTCCACCTGGGCTCACTTGCGCATCTGTGATAGTGATGGGAATTTCAGCTCTTTTTGGTGAACCAAGATCATTTGGCTCAGCTCACCCAGAAGCACAGACTCTTTCGGCTCCCAAACGGCTCTTCATTATACCACCACGGAGAGGATCACCCTATCGTTGTGCCTTGTAGTAAGTTACAAAAAAGAAAGAAAAACAGCTTATGGACAGGAGTCCCATCATTCATTTAAAATAGGGGCCGGCAACATGCGGCTCTTTTACTGCTCTGTTTTGGCTCCACGGCAGAATTCGATTTTTAGGTAAAAATAAAATAATCCTCCTTTGCAGTAAAATAAACCTCTGCTTTCATGCAGTGTGGATATACCTGAGCTTTGGCTTAAAGCAAAGTAAGTGTACGTTTTATATATGTTTTAGCTTACACTAGTAAATTAGCACATACTGAGTCATATTACAGCCAAGATGTTAAAATGGACATGAAATATTGTGGCTCACAAGGTGGTTTGATTTTTGTTGAAAGGACAAAATGGCTCTTCTTAACATTTGAGTTGTTGACCTCTGACTTAAAAGCCCTGGCTCAAAGAGCTCATCCGTGACCGATGCACCTCTAGCTAGTGTGTGACTGCGATCTGCCAGTCTGTTTTCAAGTTGTAACCAGCCAATATTCCTATTGTTTTAATTTGCACAATACTGTGGGAAAAGATTATAGAGCTGATTGACTGCCTACCTCAAAGGTGAATGTTGTTATTTTTGACATTATTAGTAAAGAATTTATTGGAAGTGAAGTTATTTTTCCAGTAATTTTTTGGGGTATTTTTTTTTATCCTGATTCAGCAAGGATAGCAAGGATAGATAGCAAGGAAGATAGCAAGGATAGATAGCAAGGAAAGTCTACTTACAAACAGGTGACACATTTTGAAACATAAAGCATATGTGTTATCCTTTAATTTCTTATCCTTCTGCTATTACCAAACACAATGCTGGTTGTCCCATCTCTTTTAATGTGATTAATTATTTTGAGTATGTATGTATGTATGTGTTTGTATAATTGTGTTATTTACTACAGCTGTAAGCTGAAAATGAACCTTGAAAGTGCATGAAAAGTGCTTGAATGTGACCTTAGAAAAGGTGTATGAACCCTGACTGTAAGTGACCACACAGCAGCAGACAAGTGATTACTGAGAGAAGCAGCTCAGCCGTTCAGGTTAGCGGCTCCATTTGCGTTCTTAACACCAAAAACTTTACAGTTACAGAATCTGCCATGAGCATCTGTGCTGCTGCTTGTTGTCCCACATGCTGACTTGTTGTTAAGTTCTGTCTGCTGGTCCGTCAGAAATTGCTTTGTGGTAGTGGTCATATGTATTGGCCATTTATATATATATATATATATATATATCGGTATCCCCCAACAATACCGATACTATGTTTAAGTGCCAGTATCAGCACACAGTATCAGTGCAACACTAATTTTGACCATTGGATGCCCGCCAACTAGAAGAACCTAACATCATTAGTGAAATAAAAATTTAGGATGAGCAGATGAAACAGATTAACTACCTCCAGTTATAGTACATTATGTTGCTTCATGTACGTTCATGGTGTCAGTAAGCACAAACTGCTTCACTCAGCTAATGAGCTGATCAGCTCGCGAACCAATAAGCACCCAGTAGCAGTAATGCTAGTTTCTTACCGGCTAAAACCTGTTTACAGTAGAAAAAAAGGAAATACACAGATATTTCAGTAAAATTCATCCTTCTGGTTTCTACAATTAAAGCAAGGTCCTGGACAAATTATTAGAAACTGTTTTAACTTTTCGTTCTTTCGTTCTCACCCCATTCATTGGGAACTTGCTCCCTGGTGCCCTCTGTCATTTTGCAGTCATGGTTTTGATATGATATAACGATATAAATAGGAAGTGGCCAGGCTCCCCTTCAACCTGATCTGACTTGTCTCACTCCGAACCAGAGTCAGTTTCTTCTTCTTCTGATACTTTAAGCCATTGTTGCATAATGGTACACATTGGAATTTGTACACTACACTGCCTGTACACCTAAATTGACACTATTTAGTGTACTATTTCTGTAATAGTGAGCGATTCCAAACGCAGCACAAAACTACCATTTGATGCCACCTCCATGCTTAAACTATATGAAAGGCTTCCTAAAAGCCTTTTTAAGGGTCCCGATTTGCATTCAAAATGCTTAAAATGTTACATTTATTTTTCCCTTCTGAGTCCACCAAAATCACAGATAAACCAGTGCCTGTAGTGGAGCTAAAAGACTAACATTCCACAAAGCTTACTCCTATATCCATGAATGTTATCTGTGCATCAGAACTCTTATGTAATTAACCAACATAAATGAAATACATGGGTCTATTTGTATCACTGCATTAAAATATTTGGAAACTGTGACTGAAATCAGTATGCTGTGAGTAACAATACATTTTGTCCTCAGAGGTGAAAAGGGCACGGGCTCAGAAGCGCAAACGAGAGAAATTTCCAGCAAACTCCCCCGAAGAAAGGTCTGACCACTGCACCATGGAAACTCCAGCCATAGACAATAACCCTGTCAAGACCGCGGACATGACTGCAGAAACCCCTCCTTGTTCAACTAAGAACCCACCAGCTAAAGCACAATCTCCAGACTGTAGCTCTGTCTTGCTTGATGGCAGTAAATGTGTTCGCATCTGTGAGGACACCCCAATCTCTGTGCCTGAGCCTCCAATGTGAGTATCTTCCAGTGTGTGCAAAATTTTGCTTTTGCTGTGTTTTTATTTTTTTATTTTTTTTTAACCCCTCTCTTTCTTTTTCCCATTTTTATTAATATCCTCTGCTCTTGATATTTTTTAACACATTAGCAATGATTCATGATGAGGATGAGCATAGTAGTCAGCTAACGGAGACCCTGTTTTTTTAAAGGGTCTCCTGTTTACATCTGCTCACTTCATGTGACTAGTACCTGGATTGTATCCTGATTAGGTTTTAGCCACATGCATTTACACTTGGTAATTTACAGACTGCTGTGTGGGATGGAAATGCAAATCCGCTCATTACGCAGTAGCAGTTGTTTATCCGTTCAGCCTTTTCGTCTGCAGTTTGTTTTGCACAGTAGCTTCTGTCCATATATAAGCATTTCGTTTTTGCCCTGTCCTTATCCCAGTGTGTCCTCCGTGATTATCTTTCCCATAGACACGGACCACATGGCCAGTGACCTACTGCGTGGAAAGGAGTTTCAGATGTGCTGGGAGGGGTTTTGGTTGTTGAATGTGTTTCGGAAAGATAGATGCATTTACATTTCTATATATTTATTGTCTTAAAGTCAAGGCCATCGGTGCGTTCAAATTTGGCGAACATAGGAGAATGTTTGCAAAGAGTTTACTGTTTTTCACAAACATTTGCAAACACTTGCAAGCAGTTTCATTAGGTTGTTCTGTGTGAACATACAGGGGAGCTGGACAAAGGGTTACAGTTGAAACGATGCTTCAAATTTAACTGTTCATATAGAACAAGTTTGCCACAAACCTTGGCCTTTTTTTCCAATCTTCTCCATCAGAATTCATCTTCTCTGCAGTGGGGAATATCTGCTGTCAGAAGAGAGAGCAAGCCTCTCACAAGAGCACGTAGAGATGCTGACTTTCCTCTGTCTCAGTGAAGGCCTGTGATTGTAGAATTTAGTTGCAACAGAGTGTAGACAAACAGTATTGACTTGAATAAGGAAACACTGATTTAGTTTTGTTATATTGTATTGCTGCTACTTCGCACAGCTTTGGTTTTAAATTTTGAAAAAAAAAATAACAGACTTTTTATTAATCTTTTGTATTAGCAGGAAAGTTCATCAAAACAGTACATTTTTTAATGTTATTTGTCTTGATTGTCTTTCTTGTTAGTTAGCAAATGCATAAAACAACCTTAAGCTAAATTTAAAAGCCGATAGCTACATAAGAGTTATTTGGCAAGTGGGCTGTTTATAATCTCAATAATCAATAATTCATTTTGATAATCGATAGATTATACGAATATCAAATTATTAGTTTGTTGCAGCCATACTGCTACAACACATGGCTTAAATGTATTTCAGACCATCTCCTGAAGTTGTTTGAGCAATCAGATTTGTATCTGTTTTAAATCTGTCTTGGGTGTCTTTACGCTTGCATTTTTATGTGGCTTGGCCTTATTCAGATATGATCCTGATGCTCAAGACACATGAAGTAACCAGATGTAAACAAGGTCAGAGTATTGGTTATGTAAGCATCTTCTTGCTTAAAATACTGTTTAAGAAAGTTCTCATGTATGTCACTTAAAGTTGTAAATGAATCCTTGGGGAAGCAGTGTGTCACTATGCTATCGTTTCTATTAAACATGAGAGATTGTTTGGCTGCAATATGGCTCCAGGGACTTGCAAATAAAGCCAAGTATGGCAATACTTTAATCTGAGTGAAAGTAGAGGTAGTGTTAGACCGATAAACAATGCCATCGTCCATTGTCGATGGCTGACAGACCCCATGATGCTTTAGTCAGAGGATCCTGTTTACAACCTAACATTACACCAGTTATTCACACGAATAAAGTCATTTCAACTTTTTAGTTGTGTTTTTACACGGAGTCAGGTACATGTATATAACCGCAACATACTCCCTTTTCACAGCAGTGTAGAAATGTATTTTTAAACCAGCATTTTCACCATGGTAGCTAGCGTCAAGCTAGCAGGGTTAGCTCAGCACTGTTTGGCATTTTTCTGTCAGCTCTAGTTTAAATACTCACATACAGCTTGTAACAGGCATGTAAGTAAAATTCTTTACTTTGTATGTCTGTTTTTAATTAATAAACGAAGTCTGTCTTGTATTTTTGTAGTGTTAGCCTGTCAGCCAGCTAGCTTTCTGCTACCTGTCCAGCCTACTAGTGAAGGTGGAATATAGCCAGTTATATAGTGAATATACTGTGTAAAAAAAAAGTTGCGAGTCTGTTAGGCGCAAACAGTGATTTTCAACTGGCAATTAATGATGTGATTGCATTTAATAGACACTAACAACTGGGCTTCATTATGCAGCCACAGTCTCATGTCTGCTGAATCTTTGTGCTATTTATGCTTGGAGCATTGCTGTTTTTGCCGTAATTTCATCTTCACTCGGTTGTACTGATAGCCACAAGCTGTACGTTATCCCAGAATGACTCATAGACATTTTACTACACAAAACAGTAACTTAAAAAATAAACACACATTCTTTCTCTCAGCTAAAAATGGTAACGAATGACACCTCCATTACGCAGCTGGATATTTCAGCCATAATGGCAAAACACAGTGGTCATGTGAGAAATAAGGTAGTTATGGAGGAAAGTAAGGAAAGACCAGGTGAGTAGGGGAGGATGGGCTGTGAATGTTTTAGCCTGAGTTTAAGTTATTTACAACCCCATTTCCAAAAAAGTTGGGGCACATCAATGATGTGAAAATCATTTAAACCCTATATTTCATTGAAAATAGTACAAAGACAACAATCAAATGTTGAAACTGAGACATTTTATTGTATTTTGAAAAATATTTGCCCATTTTGAATTTGATGCCAACAACACGTTCCAAAAAAGTTGTGACAGGGGCATGTTTACTACTGTGTTTCATCACCTCTTCTTTTAACAACACTCTGTACTCTTTTAACAACACTTGGGAACTGAGGAGACCAACTGCTGTAGCTTTGAAAGTGAAATGTTTTCCCATTTTTGCTTAACATAGGATTTTAGCTGCTCAACAGTTCGGGGTCTCCTTTGCCATATTTTTCATTTTATAATGTGACAAATGTTTTCAGTGGTGACAGGTCTGGACTGCAGGCCCAGACTCTTTTAATACAGAGTCATGCTGTTGTAATACATGCAGAATGTGGTTTGACATTGTCTTCCTTTGACATCTGCTTCCGTCCTTCCCTGAAAAAGACATCGTCTGGATGGCAACATATGTTGCCAAAACATGTATATATCGTTCAGCATTAATGGTGCCTTCACAGATGTGCACGTCACCCATGCCATGTGTGCTAATGCATCCCTATACCACGAATATAGTATATCATGAATACTGGCTTTTGAAGTGTTCACTGATAACAAGCTGAGTGGTCTTTAGCCCGGAGGACACAGTGTCCATGATTTCCGAACAGAAATTCAAATGTTGATTCGTCGGACCACAGAACACTTCTCCACTTCCCCTCAGTCCATTTTAAATGAGCTCAGTCCCAGAGAAGGTCGCAGCATTCCTGGATCCTGTTTATATATGCTTTCTTTTTTGCGTTTGAAGAGTTTTATTTAGCATTTGTGGATGCAGTGCCGAACTGTTTTCATAGACCGTGTTTTTCAGGATTTTTTCTGAGCCCACGCAGTGATTTCCACTACAGAATCATGTCTGTTCTTAATGCAGTACCACCTGAGGGCTCAAAGATGATGGCCAGCAAATTCTGGTTTTCAGCCTTGTCCCTTGCATACAGAGATTTCTCCAGATCCTCAGAAGATTTTAATGTTATTATGTACCTGCAGATGATGAAAAGCAAAAATTCTTTGCTATTTTACGTTGAGAAACGTTATTCTTGAATTGTGAACAGAGTGGTGAACCCCTCCACCATCTTTACTTCTGCAAGACTCAGCCTCTCTGGGATGCTCATTTTATACCCAGTCATGTTACTGACCTGTTCCCAATTAACCACCAGGTGTTTTTTTAAGCGTTACACAACTTTACCAGCCTTTTGTTGCTGGCATCAAATTCAAAATGGGCAAATATTTTTCAAAAAACAGTAGAATTTCTCAGTTTCAACATTTGATCTGTTGTCTTGTAAGCATCTTCAATGAAATATTGGGTTTAAATGATTTACACATTATTGCATTTCGTTTTTATTTACATTTTTCACAGCATCCCAACTTTTTCGGAAATAGGGTTGTATATAGCTCATTATCAAACAGTGTATTTAAAAGTGCTTTACAGAGTATTGAAATTAATATAAAAGGTAGATTAAAACAAGTGAAAAGATGATCAAATTAAATTTAAAACATTTAATGAAGATAAGGTGCAGTAAAAGAGTAGAGAAAAGAGTAAACCACTGAGAATAAATAATTAAAATATGCAAATTACAATTGCTCAAGGAGTTTGAAAGGCATAGGTAAACAGATATGTTTTCGGTCTGCTTTTGAAAAGAGTCTCAGCACATTTGACAGCTTCTGAGACATTTTTCCAACTGATTGCAGTGTAATGTTTGAAGACTGCTTCACCATGTTTTGTTTTGGTTTCAGGTACTGTTAACTGGCCAGATTGTAGTGACCTGTCATATCTAGAAAGGCTTTTCCAGCATTTCAGGAATATATTTAGGTCCTGGTTCATTTAGTGATTTGCATACAAGTAGTACAATTTTGAAATCTGTTATATAGCTGCCCAGGAGCAAGCTTAGGGACATGAGTATTAGAGTGATGTATTCAAACCTCTTTTGGTTAATATTCTGGCAGGAGCACTCTTAATAAGCTGCAGCTGTTGAATGGGCATTCCTTCCAATAATCTATTCTGCTGGATATAAATGAATTAATTAGTTTTTCTTAGGTGTGTAATAATGCACAGATTTACTTGTTAAAGGGATAACTGGCACAAGTCATTTTTTTAAAGACATAAAATAAATTCAAAAGAATATAAGCTAAAGTGCAATACCTATATAAAAATAAGCAAAAAAGTGTAATCTATAAAGCTACATCTTAATACTAAATAAGA